GAAGTACGGAAGTAGATGAAGTCTCGCTTTTCCCCCCTTGTTTTGAAGGCAATATCGAATTATTCATTTGTTTGGATTAATTATATTTTATTCGTCTTACATCTTCGATCTAATATAAATAAGTAAGAAGATTATTACTATAGCCTGCTGTTCTTTTTTTCCGATTGTAATAACAGCTTGAATATATATCAATGAAGTTTTCTCATTTTTATAATGTTAAAAAAATGCTTTTGAAACTAAACCACAACTTTTGAAGGCAGACGGTAGATATTGTAAACTGAGTTAAAGAAAAGCACTTATCCCAAGGCGAAATTCAACCATCTGGGATAGATCGATATATATATATATTAAGCATCTTACCATTAGACATGTTGCCACATGTTAATAGATTTCATTCAAGCTTTTCTATTGCCGATGCTAAACGATTGTTAGTTGTAAATCTTATAGTTTTAGTCTTAGGAAATAAAATATATTTAGGAAGAATTAATTGTATTTTATAAGCATTATTAAAATTATACAAGTCAACAAAAAATGAGACAATAAAGTTCTGGAAATAAAAATAAATATTTTTGCTTGTTTATTCTATTTGAATTTTATATATTACCAAAACCAATTGGTTTCAATCCTTCAATAATTTGTCCATTTAGGAAGACATTATTTCTGTCTTTTGCATAACCTTTATTGAGCACTTCGAATGAAAATGAATGAGCATGTGCAATAAAATGTCCCATAAAAAATACATGATGACTATCTTTACCTAAACAATACTAAGTTAATCTGTTAGAAGATTTTAATAATGTATAGAGCAAAACACAACATACCATAGCCTTGCCCTAAATCTGTAAAATCTATCCATCTTGCGTCAGATACATATTGATCATTAAAATAGACTTTAAAATCTTGTATTTCATATGAGGTTTTATGAGTAGATATTCGACTCATGCCACTAGAATTCGTGGATTGCTTACTTATGGTTCCACTATTACAATTAATAGGCGATTGAGAATTATAAGGTTGAAGATTTGCTACGATTCGTCCATGTTGAAAGACATATTGATAATCCTTCGCGTAGGTATTATCAGCTACTTGAAAAGAAAATGGATGAGCATTTTTCATAATTTGACCCATGTAGAAAACATGATTATCATCTTTACCTAAAAATTCATCAGAATAAAAAAAGTTCAAAGAACATAAAAACATACCATAACCATGACCTAGATCTTTAAAATTTGACCAATTAGCATCAGGAAGATTTTCATCATTAAAATAGACTTTAAAATTTCGGATTTCATATGATAACATTTGTGTAGAGGTTCCATCTAACATCCGCGAATGAAACATCTACAATTATATTGATACATTTATGCAATATAAAGAGATATGTTAATATAAAAATAATTTTCACTTTTTATTATATTTTGTATGGATAGAAAACTTAAATATATTCTCTTCTGTGTAATTGAGGAATTATTTGTTCTCGTAACTATTCTAAAAATACTATATACGTATCTAGGTATCAACCGGATTTATGATAAAGGAACACTAGTACATTCAGTAGCTAAATGGAAATATAAACAAATCGAAGTATATTATTAAACTATTGTAACTTCCTATTCTCGAACTGATAGGTACGTCTAAAAATAAGAAGTAAGAAAAATAAAATTGTTTATATTAACCGTAAACCTTAATTTTCAATCATGATTGTTGATAGTAGATAAAAAGATGTTTTTCTGTTGATTACAATATGTCGATGGTATATATATATATGTTCAATTTAATTTATGAGAGTTGTATAAATAGGCGTACTATTTGCCTTATATTAATAAGACCTGATATAAATATGTAGGCGTATCATGACTCCAGAAAGCACTTCAGGTATTCATCTACTAATATAAATAGATTTTCATATCAAGGAAGTTACGGTATGTAAAGGAAGAAAAAGAAAAAGAAAAATGTCACAGACACCATTTTAGATGAATATTAATTTTTCTTTTCTAAAACGTTCATGACAGTTTAGTGCAATATTTTTACTAATATAAATATTTTACAATTAAATTACGATTACAGATGGATAATGTAAAGGTTATATGAGTAGTTATCATTGTGCACCTGATTGTAAATGTCGTTTTTATTTCAGATATTGTGATTATCTATGCAATTATTATATACTTCAATACAAATGGAATATTAATTAGAGTTTTTTCAATTAACTTATAAGAAAATGCAGTCCTGCGTACAAAAAAATGAAGTTAATGTTTCCGCCTCATTTTTACACTTTCTGCAATCCGTATGGTACAAGACGTGCACTTTTAAAACAAGGTAAGAAATAAAACTATTTAGAATTCAAGAGAAAATATAATTTTTGTTAGAATTATATTACGAGAAATATCTTTTCACCACCACAAAAGGAGTGAAATGGTCACTTCATTAGAAAAAACAGTTTAAAAATTATCAAACAGAGTAAGGAGGGGTGATTTGGTACATTAATTTTTATTTTTGTATTATTTCGATAATAGTTTTTTTATTTTAATGATAGAAAACGTTTTTGAGTACAAAACATCTAGTAAAAATATTTCTCTATCGCTTGGCGTTTTTAATTTCTAAAAATCTCTTCTGGTAAAATTTCAGCAGTTGTTTTAATGAGACTGTCTAATAGCTCTGCCAAATTACCCCGCATGAGGTGATTCGGCAATCAATGTAAGTATGCGGGATGATTTGGCAATCCCATGTATTTTACTGATAAGCAACCAAACCTAATTTACTAAGCTATTTTAAATCATTTTATTATAAGTATACCATTCGATAGCCCAAAGATTTCTCTACACACCTAGACTAGTCTTTGCTTCCACCTTTTTACCACATCCAGGTATAATCATTTACAAAAAGATCCCTAGAAAGAAAAGTTGTGCCAAATCACCCCTTCTTACTCTATTTGATTATTTTTAAACTGTTTTTTCTATTTTGGTGATCATTTCACTCCTTTTGTGGAGATCAAAACACTCCTCGTCCATTATATTCATCAAATTATATTAATTTCTTTAAGAATTTGATAGAAATATGGAAGTATTTAATATATAATAGGTTTTATGTTGGGAAGTATCAAAATACATTGATTTTACAACATAATAAATCGAATGACAACGAATTTAGAGTTGTGCATAGCGTCACCTATCCATTTCGTATGCAATTAGTCTAGTATATTGTCCATCACTAAAACGGACAATTCGAGTAGTGTTTAACGTTTCGATTATCTAATTTTTATGAACTAAAAGCAATTAGTAATGATAGCTTTCATTTAATTTAATATATATGTTGTTTTAGATGTTAAAACGAACAGTATCCTCTCTCGTTTTGGCTACTATTAACAATCGTCGTTTATTTTCATTGACAACAATATCAAATCGGCAAACAACTAGAAACGATAATGAATATTCAGATGAAGTCAATAATCAACATCGTCAATTTAACAAATTTCATCCACGTTCATCGAACTTTAAAAATAGAAATAAAGATGTTAAAGAAGAAGAATTAAATGATATCAAACCTAAATTTAATAGATATAATACCACTCGATTACATTCAAGAAATCCATCAAAGAAGAAATCAATCGAAGATGATGAAGATGATTTATTTTCTGAGGAGAAAGATAATCTAACAATGCTTGGAACAGACACAAAAGCTTTTTCTTCATCATCGAATAAACCTATTCAAAAACCAAGTTCTACCGCTATTTCTTTGAATAAAAGAAAAGAAATGTAAGTAAAACGAAATTCATCTAAATATAATTTCATTTTGATATTTTTCTTTCAGTTTAAATGTACCACTCGAAGTTTTAATTCAACCTGATTTACGTGATCTATATACTGATGAAAACATTCATCAATCTCTTGAAGTTTATATCAATGAAATGTATCCAGCTCTTCGTCCATTTACATTCGATTTAGCTTATTTAATAAATGAATCGGAAACATTAAAACGTTTTATTGAAATGGGTGTGGATGTTTACCGTTGGAATCAACCTAATGCCAAGGCAAAATATATTTTAACACTTAATTTTGAACGTGATTGTCTCCAACATCTTGTTTTTCTTAATGAATTAGGTATTAAAAATAAATCTCTTGCAAAATTTCTTAGTTACAATCCATGGATATTTAAAGAAACAATCGATGATCTACGTACACGTGTCAATTATCTTGAAAGTAAAGGATTTAATCAAGAAAATATTTGTGATATACTTACGCGTGCACCATTTCTAATTAATTTAAGTACAAAAATGCTTGATACAAAATTAAATTGGTTTAGAAAAAAATTTCATTTAACTGATAAGGAAGTTCAAGAATTTGTTCTTAGTGCACCGAAACTTATAACTTTACCATTACAAGATATAAGTAATACATATTTTAATATGAATACACAATTAGGTTTTGAATATGCTGAATTAAAAAAAATATTTAATCAATATGCAAAATTATTTATTTATGATTATAAATTAATTGAATTAAATTTTGATTTTCTTTATAATGAAATGAATATAACTCGACAACGTTTAATAGATTATCCCCCGATACTTAAACAAAGTTTTCAACAATTAAGAACACGTTGTTTGTATTTAAAATATTTAAAACGTCATCAATTTGATCCAACAAAACCAAATTTTGTTTCATTAAAAGATCTTTGTTTAAAAACAAATGAACTTTTTTGTCAACATGTAACAAAAACATCTCCGGGACATTATCTAAATTTCATGAAAACGTTGTAAATGTTTTGTAGGAAATTAAACAAAGAACAGATTGTATTTGTTGTCTGAGCAATACAACATGTGTTATAGTAAAGACTTAAAAAAATTGATTTTTGTTTATTAAAAAGTGTTTTTCAGTTAGGAGTAATGTAATATATTTAGAAAATTGATTGAGATGTATTGCAGAACAGATGTGAAAAATATTCAAAATTCAAGAGTGAAATATTTGCTGTTTTTTATAATATCAAAAAGTTTTTTAAAAATCATACTTAATTTTCATTATATTTGACAAGAAAGACTTATCGATACGAGCATTATTACTAAAATCTATTTTAAGTCTATAGATGAGATCAAAAGGTTTGCGACAAGTTGCAATGTGCTTTTTGTAAAGATAGATATGTAACGTAATGGAGAATTTAGTTCTATATTTCATACTAAATGATTTATGCTCGTTTTCTGAACAAATATGGTTCGATATATATACGTATTTAGGGAAGTTTCACTAATTGAACTTGTTCATTATTACTAAAAACAAGTGGATGAAGGTTCTATTACAGATAATCAATACTCATGTTATAAGTCAAAGAGTTATAAGGAGTCTGATTGGGTTACACTCTCTCTAGCACTATGCTAATCTATTTTCCAATGATTTGACTACTTTGATTTCTTTCTGATTGATCGTGTCTGTATTTATGATGAGAGATTTCAATAAAATTACTTAGTATATAATCAAAATCGAAATGTATATAAAATTATGAATTAATCGAAACGAAGATTTATCTTAGTATTTCTAATAAAATAAAATCTGTAGTTCCTGTAAGCAGTCATATTTAAAAAAGACATAGTGTAAGAAGAAAAATATTCCCAATGTTTCACACAAATTCGTCCAACAAGAGATCAGATTGTAGTAACGTTTGTCGACCATGAAATTAATGTTCTTGTTTTTTTTCCTTTATTCACTCATCTGAATCTGTTTCGTGAGAATCAATTCTGCTCGGTCTGATAAAATATGATTATTCGATTTTATGTTCAGATACCAATAAAGATTTTGAGCAAAAATAAATAAAAAAAGAAGGCTATTCAATTTTTACTGATTATATTTCATTGTGTATTGCTAAAATAATCATAATAAAAACATTAATTATAGTTCCTATTGTGATTCTGTCGCTGAAAGTGACATTGTTATTTTTTTCTTCGTACAAGTAATTATAATATCATATAAGGTATATGATACGTAAAGAATATATACATTGTAAAAAAAGGCGATCTTCACCGAACCAAAAAAGCGATCCGAGAGCGGATACACTGTGATCTTTTTCTGGTTTTGTAAAAAACTAAATTTCGTACCGAACGCTTCATGAATAATCCAAACAGAAGGTTTCGTATCAAATCTTTTCCCCGAATTAAATTTTACTGAAATGAGAATCGTTCGAGGCAAAAATGCGTAACTTTAACCCTTTCCGGCCGGCTGCCAGAAGATAGCAAGCAAAAAATTCTTCTTCTATAGATTCTTTGTCTCTTAGATATGGAGGTTACCGAATTCCATCTTGGAGTTTAAAGAACTGATACTAAGCCGAATACGAGCATGTTGCCTTTTGGCAACATCCGGCCGTAAGGGTACAAAAAGTTCGGAAAAGTGAATTATTTTTCCTTGATGGAAGTTCTATAATTTGTTGTTAGCTATAGTCTAGATTATCAAACAAAAGCATACTTTGTTCATCTATCCATCTCTTACAGTCTTAATGTGAGATATACTCCCATAATACTCAAAAACTGTCCAAAATAGTGCAAATTTTACCTATTTTTCCTAGGGAAGCTCACAAATTCAGCGAGACTCTAGCAAGATTTACAGGATTTACAGCACATCATAGTATTCCCGTTCAGACTACTATAAAAAAATACTAATCTTGTTAAAATCTTACTAAATTCATGATATTCTCTAAGGAGAATAAACGGAATTTGCACTATTTTGGACAGTTTTTGAGTATTATGGGAGTATATCTCACATTAAGACTGTAAGAGATGGATAGATGAACAAAGTATGCTTTTGTTTGATAATCTAGACTATAGCTAACAACAAATTATAGAACTTCCATCGAGGAAAAATAATTCACTTTTCCGAACTTTTTGTACCCTTACGGCCGGATGTTGCCAAAAGGCAACATTCCTGTACCCTGTTCTTCGAGTAAAGTGAACAATTCACATTATTGGTATAATACATAATGGGTCTCAAGAGGAAAATTAACCACTAATAACTTCCCGTATCAAATGCTCGGAGAAATGAAAAACAGGTCATTTCGACTTTGGAGCTGTATTGGGTGTTGGCGGGAAAATCCCTCCCTCTCCTCAACAATAGCTTTCTCGTTTCTTGAAAAAGCATAGGATTGTCCCGAAATGCATGTAGTTAATTATCAAACCACTTCATAAACTATATCTCATCGCTTTAAAATAAACCCCAAGACGATATTGACAAAATGTTGCCATTTGGCAACATCCGGCCGGAAAGGGTTAAAAGTTAAGTAAAACGTCTATTTTTTCCAGAGTGTATCTGTGATATATCTAAATTGATCAATACGTCATGAATAAATGATTATTCTACTCATCTGCTGCTCATTAATGATGAACACTAATTCATAGATTCAATGAGACCATGCTTTGATGACACGTCGATTTAAACATATCGCGCTTTTTTAACTCTTTCTCTATCATACGAGGTGTTGCTCGAGAAAATAACAAAACGATTCGATTTGATCCGATTAAATTTCACGTAAGTTACTGATTTTTCATATTTCTCGATGTTTTTTCGTTTTTGAATTGTTCTATTCCACGACCAATATCAACGGTCACTTTTTTTTCTTTTATACTTATTACAGGGAATATTCTAGTAAAGTGTCAGAAATCTAAGTATGTTTGCGAAGATCATTTATATATACGCCTATGTATGCGCATTACTTTTGCAGCCGGCTCTGTGTACTACGCTTTCGTTATTCACAGACTTGTTCTCTGTATCCGCGCGACACCTAAAATACGGATCAAATAAACAAATAGATAAAGCATTCTTTTATTTATCTAACAAATATTCTTTACAATTTCTTTTTAACAATTTCAATACACTCTTGCACGTCTTTAATACTAGGATGTGTGGGAGGTAATCTACGTTGATTGATGTCTAGAGCACGCTGATAAAATGAAAGTGCTTTCGGGTACTCTTCCATGTTGTTATACACCAGACCGATATTGTCGTATAAAGTAGCTAATGAGGGATGCTTTGAAGGAAGAGTTATTTCATAGATTTCAAGTGATTTTTCGTAAAATGAAAGAGCTTTCGAGTACTCTCCCATGTGATTACATACTGAACCGATGTTGTTATATGAACCAACCAAATCAGAATGATTTGAAGGAAGTGTTTTTTTCCGAATTGCAAGTGATTTTTCGTAAAATGAAAGTGCTTTCGAGTACTCTCCCATGTTGTTATACACCAATCCGATGTTGTTGTATGAAGTAGCGAAATCAAAATGATTTGAAGGAAGAGTTATTTCATAGATTTCAAGTGCTTTTTCGTAAAATGAAACTGCTGTCAAGTACTCTCCCATCTGGCGATATACAGTGCCAGTGTTGATGTATGAGGTAGCAAATAAAGGATGATTTGAAGGAAGTGTTTTTTGTTGAATATCAAGTGATTTTTCGTGAGATGAAAGTGCTTTCGAGTACTGTCCCATGTTGTTATACACGCAACCGATGTTATTGTGTGAAGCAGCCAGTGACGGATGATTTGAAGGAAGAGTTTTTTCTTGAAGTTCAAGGGCTTTTTCGTAAAATAAAAGTGCGCTCGAATATTCTCCCGTGTTATGATACACTAAACCAATGTTATTGTATGAAGTAGCCAAATGAGGATGATTTGAAGGAAGAGTTTTTCCTCGAAGTTCAAGTGATTTTGCGTGAAATGAGAGTGCTTTCGAGTACTGCCCCATGTCGTTATACACCAAACCAGTGTTCCCATATGAAGTAGCCAAATCAGGATGATTTGTAGGAAGAGTATTCTCAAGAATTTCACGGTCTTTTGTGTAAAATGAAAGTGCTTTTGAGTACTCTCTCATGTTGTAATACACGAGACCGATGTTGTTATATGAAATAGCTAAATAAGGATGATTTGAAGGAAGAGTTTTTTCTTGAAGTTCAAGCGATTTTTTGTGAAGTGGAAGTGCTTTCGAGTACTTTCCCATGTCGCCATACATAACACCGATATTGTTGTATGAAATAGCCAAATCAGGATGATTTGAAGGAAGTGTTTTTTCTCGTATTACAAGTGATTTTTCGTAATATGAAAGTGCTTTCGAGTACTGTCCCATGGCATGATATATACTACCGATGTTGTTGTATGAATTAGCCAAATCAGGATGATTTGAAAGAAGTGTTTTTTCCCGAATTTCAAGTGATTTTTCGTAAAACGAAAGCGCTTTCAAGTACTCTCCCATGTTTTTATACACCAAACCGATGTTGCTGTATGAACTAGCCAATGAAGGATGATTTGAAGGAAGTGTTTCTTCCCGAATTGCAAGTGATTTTTCGTAAAGTGAAAGTGCTTCCGAGTACTCTCCCATGTTTTTATACACCAAACCGATGTTGCTATATGAAGTAGCTAAACCAAGATGATTTGAAGGGAGAGTTCTTTCTCGAAGTTCAAGTTCTTGTTCGTAATACCAAATAGCCTTTCTATAGGCACCTTGATTCAAATGTACTAATCCAAGCTGGTTATAATAATGCATTTTGTCACCATCACCAGATGTCTGTTCTAGCAACACATTATAAAGCTCTTCAGCCTTATTAAATTGACCAATTTTAAGCAATAAGTTACCCAGTTTCTCCCATCCACCATCATCATTAGCGTCTTCTCGTATTCGATCAGTAAGCACTCGTAGTTGTTGATCATCATCTGATGTAAGTTGTAGCTCAACTTGATATAGTTGACTGTTATCGGACATTTGTTGAATAGTACCCACTCGGAAAACAGCATGCATTGAAAAGAGAAGCTCGTCTTCTTGTTGAAAATAACTTGCATCACTAATAGAGGCGAATGGCACTGATTTTACATTGAGATCGATGGACATTATAAATAAAATGCCCACCATGTCCGTAATTTGCGATGCAGCATAGGCATATTCGAGAGAGATCTGTCGTGCTTTGCTGGTGGATAAAAAGTTATTGAAAGACATTAAACCACCTTTTGTTTTTTGGAGTTTTTCGAAATTTATTTTGGATAGACCTTGTCCTCGGTAGACTATGAATGATTTATCATGATAACTACCAAGTTGTTGTTGATGTAGTTTTTGAATTTGTTGATGCAAATCATGAATAAAAAAACCCATATTAATAATGGTATCGCCCTCCATCAAGCGAAGAGCATGGTTGAGCATAGAATAGAGAAATGTTGGGCGAGTATACCACCAAACAGGTGATTGAGTATGGTATTCTTTTTCAAATCGATCAATATTGACTAGCGATCCACAATTATTCTGTCGGCAGTACATAGTAAAGTCTGTGATGGCCTGTTTACTATGTTCCATATCAAGAAGAATATCTTTGAATATTTGAGTGTACATAAATGTTGGTTCCAGCTGATTCAGATTATTAGTCGAACACATTTCATTTACCGTAACAAAACTCACAGCAATCAGGTCTTGGTTGCAGTGTTTGATATCCAATTGCAATGGTTGACATAGGTCATTGATATTGGTATGAATGCTCTTAATTTTTTGCCATTTTTCTGTCCATTCTTCATGTAGGGGTTCAATATCACTGAGGATATAAACACCATTCAGCTGTGGAATATCATTGATGAGCGGCATTATTTGTTGAGCTATAGTATCCTTGAGAATGAGAAAAGACTTGATGTCTTGAGCATCACTAAGGAAGTCGATGCATTCGTCTCTGTGTTTAAAGGCATCAACATTATCAGTAATGGTTTGTATTTGTTTCAAAGTGTTTTTGTAATCTTGCTTTGTTTCATCCATGTGCTCGTCTAACCAAATAAGTAAATAATCTTGTAACATACGTCTTCGCCGTTCACTACCATTAGATATTACTGCTGTTTCACACGATTTCAACTTTTCCATTGAGCGCATTGCGTCCATTTCGTGTATTATTTGATAATAAGATGACAGTTGTGTGAGCTTTTTTATTGAATAGATAGTGGTGAAGGTGATGAATAAGCTCTCTTATTTATATAAGAATCAGATCTCGTTACCTCAATATTTTGATGACGTATTTGATTACCTTTTTATATTTATTTTGATTGATAATAGTACAGTTTTATCCTTTATATCATTACATTTACGTTATAGAGCCAGGTAAGTAGAAAGAAGAAAAAAAAAGAATTTATTGTTTCTAACTTTCTTCACAGATAAGGGACAATATGGCACTAAGAAATAAAATACATATTTGTTTTGTAAAAAGTGCATGTTAAAAATGTCGCAGCATTTTCTTTTATTTTTGAATCGTATATTAAGATTACAAAAGGATACAAATTAAATGATCGTGTTTTTTTTATGAACGACCAATAAAATCTGCTCAATTTTTTATACATATTATTAGTAGAAAGAGTAAGTAATTATTGATATTAAACTCGTTGGTCTATAAATTAACAATTTATACAATATTATAATTGTAATATTAACTACAATCTAAATAAAAATCCATTCCTTAAAAATTGAAACCAGCTCGAAAACCAGAAACGGTAATTCGGTATACTGTTTTGATTCTCGAAATTATTTACTAAAAACTCTTTAGACTACCGAACTTTATGTATTACAGAAAAGTATTATGAAAAACCTATATTGGTTTACGAAGTTACGGAAATCTTTTTAAAGATTTTTACTATGAGTTAAAGTTGTGAACACTATTTCTGAATACATATTTGTTATTGAAATATCCTTTTCTAGTTTTTATTTTTCTTGAGGGTGGATATAGATACTGTTTATCCTTTCTCTACACTCTCCCACACCTTCAAGATGGTTACTGCATTGTGGCACTTGAAGTAGCATTTAATTAAAAATATGATTCGTAATCATCTCACATTTTGATTTTGTACAAATTAATTTATTTCTTTAGTATTGCTTCAACACATACTGAGTAGATCTATGACTTTAGCATCTCAATCATGATTATGTATTTGATACTTTGATCAGCCACGTCATTACTTTTCATTTTATTCCTTCAAGTTTTATACCAAAAATATCTTGTTCTACATTATTAATTATAATCATTTAGTTTCGATCAATAACAAAAACATATTTCCTAAATTCTCAATCTTTATTTTGTTATCAAATAGAATCTTTAGGCAAAAGAGCAAGTTGAATAATTTCAATAGATTGAGAAGTATCCATTTCAACAGAACGTACATCAAGACATGATTGAACTAAATCATAAGAAAAAATATTAGTATAACGAATTAGAATGTTTATACTTAATGCTTTTCGAAATTGTTCATATGTTGATTCATTACGAATAGCATTTGCAATATACGCAGTACATTGTTGATTTTTTTGCAAAAGAATTCGAATTGTTTTGACTAAATTTTCAATCACCGACGGATCATAAACAACATCTAAATATTCACAAAATAATTTCAATGAAATAAAAAACAAATAGAACTTATTTATTAACCTGCAGCTAAAATGCAATCAAAACAATTATGATGATTATTCTCTATTGAATATTGATTCCAATCTAATTCTTCAATTTTCATCTTTTCCTAAACTAAGAAATTATTAGAAAATTATTTTTATTCTATATTTATGAAACTACATCAATTTGATATTCAGAAAAATTTAATAAAGCATTTTGTCGTAATAAATTTAAAATCATTGGAGAATAATCAGTAAATGTATATGACAAAATTTTATCTGAATATTTTAATAAAGTTAAACCAAGTAAACCTGATCCAGCACCAAGTTCAATGATACGTCTATGAAAAAAATAACTCGAAATTTGTTAAATAAAAATTCATAATACATACTTATTTTCTAGTAGATGTATTCTTTTCATCAAATAATCACCAAGAGAGATCGCTGCAGGCCAACTTGAAAGACCAGTAAGACCATGACTAAGTAATGCTGTACTTTGTCGATGTATAATGAATTGATTATTATCCTAATTTGGATATAATTAAATATTTGATATATATATATATACAATTTTCCTTACAAGTATATAGATAGTATGACACCATTCTTGTTCACATGATTCTCGACTTGCTAAATCAGCTATTAATTCATACCATCGACTATTTATTTCAACATTTTGATGTTTTTCTAGCTAAATAAAATATTTGATGAGGTGTCAAAATGTCGAAAGAAAAATGTCGACAAAAAAATTGTCGACAGTAGAAATGTCGACAGTAAAATGACGACGAGTAAAATGTCGACAATAAAAAACGTCGACAAGTACAAATGTCGACAAAAACCGATGTCGAAATCAAAATGTCGACAACAAAAATGTCGACGAGTAAAATATTCACTTCAAAAGACCTAGAAACTTCTATTTTAATGTAGAATGATAACACACCACAGTCTAGTATATTTTCTTCTCTTTGTTTTCTCTCTTTGTGTACATCCTGAGAGTGTGAGTGTCTACTTTTTCTTCTCACACCCACACCCACAACCTCACCCACAACCTCACCCACAACCTCACCCACATCCTCACCCACACCCACACCCACACCCTCACCCGCACCCACACGCACACCC